CACGTTATTGTATTAAAATTTAATGGGCTACAAAAAATAATTTAAATACTATTTTTATTTCTGATAAAGTTTGAAATATCGGTGAAACTGCAGTTTTTATAATTTTTTCACAAAGTCTGATATTAGGATTTATATAGTTTTTGTTACATATAGACTATACTTTTATAAAAAGTTAATTAACATTAAACAAACAAAAGAAATAGTCAAAACTTGTCAAAATATCGCGACCCTATTAATTTGTACACATGAGGCTATTTTTTTTATTGAAAATGAAGATTTTTTGTTTATGTTGCTTGAATTACCTGAATGATAACAATTTAATAAAACTTAAAAAAACTGAACTTTAATGAATACGTACAAAAAATAAAAAATAAGATTTAAGACTGAAGTCGCATATGTTGTAAAATGTTATTTCTTATTTCTACGGCTTCTTGATTTATATGGCCTGCTTGAAAATTGATGTCACTTTGATCTTCATAGTTTTCTGGGTCTTGGCTATCATAAATTTCTTCATTCGAAGACTCAACATTGTAAAAAATGCATATATTGTGCAGTGCTACGCAAACGTTTATTATTTGGGTGGCTTTCTTTGGCTCATAGTGCAGCGCACGAGCACCTAACAAACACCTAAACCGATTTTTCAACACCCCAATCGTGCGTTCCACAATATTCCTAGCTTTTGCATGCCTTTTGTTAAATATACCCTGCACTGATCCGTCATCGGGGTTCCGGAATGGAGTAAGCATATACGGCTGTAAAGCATATCCTGCGTCACCTGAAAATTATATACAAATTTGTGTAAAAGCCATCGAAATGTCCAATAAATTTGATAATAACAAACCTAATAATAAATTCCTTTCACCCCTGCGGTAGTCATCTTCTAATTGGGGTTTTAAAGAAGACATATTGAAAACCGTAGCATCGTGCGTTGCCCCAGGATATCTTGCATTGATGTAACGAATCCTCAGAGCGTTATCACAGACCTGTAAATGAACATATTTAAATAATACTTTCATTTAATATTTTACGTAAATACTTACTATCATCGCGTTTAAGCTAAAGTACCCTTTTCGGTTATAGTAAAGGTGTTGAAGATCCTTTTTTGGGGCAACGATTTTAATATGTGTCCCATCAATGCAACCTATTACGCCTGGAATTCCACTTTTCTCAAAAAAATACATTTTCGCCTTTCGTTTCTCTTCATCAGTGTAATTCATTTTTATCCAATTTTTACACACGTGCTCTTCCAAAGCATGAAACATTTCTGTCAAAACCAGGGAAACAGTAGATTGGCCAAGTCCAATATTACTATCGTTTCCTACACTCAGTTGGTAGGATCCCTGAGCACAGAATCTTAAAGTCGCTGCTAGTTTTAAAATTAGGGGTATCGATGTTTTTCTTACACCAGCTTGTAGTTTGCTTTCCAATGTTTCAAGCAAATATGTAAATGCAGCTTTCGGCAAACGATAATTTTTCAAAAACCTGTAAAGTTGGTTGTTTAGTAAATTTCTTGGGAAATGTTTAGTTATTTGTACTATGATTTTGTGGCGTGCAGCGAAGGGGAAGCTAAAACCCCATCCATTAGAAAGAGCACAATCCAAACTATAAGACAAGTCATCCTTCCCCTCTCTGACCCTTCTACAGACCCCGGGCCCATTTCAAAATTGGGTAAAATTAGCACTTCGACATAGAAAATGTAAACTCACTGACCACAGTATTTTTGCGCACAACTTCTTTCTGCTTAGGCGTTTACGGATTATAACCTTTAATAAGTAGAATTCTCCTTTCTGTCTTCCCAGAGAAGAGGGGCGGAAGCTCCGCTTCTATTGTGAAAGATATTCAACATTTCTTGTGCATATAACTCCGGCTACGCCATCCACTGTTTTTGCGCAGAACTAACATCAAAATTTACGAAAAACTGCATAATTTATTAATATACTAGTACTCAGAAATTTGAAATCTTTATTTTAAATTAAAGTTTAATTCTTTCACTACACGCGTATGTTAAAGTTTTTAAATCGGGTCACGCGTTTGGACACAAATACCCAAAATCATTGTACAAATAACTTAACTGTACCGAATTGCTTAAACTAGTTGCGTTCCAGATGCTTCACGATTTGCGGGTTTTTACAGGAAGTTGTTCCACGGGGCCACCTTCCATAAGGTTTATTAATGGCGAAAACAGCTTTTCCTGCAAATCGTGAAGCATCTGGAACGCAACTGCTATTCATAAAATTCACATATGTATGTACATACACTTCATCTTCCAACTCCAAGGGATTCGACGAATCTCGCAATTTCCTTCTTGCTTTAGCCAACTCTACTAATCTATTGCCTTCCACATCATCTTCCTCATCACTAAACCATATTTCAACTGTATCCATTTTTTTTAATTTTATAATAAAGCAATTGTTTTAAAAATGATATAAATGAAACACTAAAGAAACAAATGTAAACAAACAAACAGCTGTTTACAATTTGGTCAACCATTCACAATAGTACAAATTTTTATCGATCAAGTTACACAATAGCAAAATAAAAGATGATCGACTCGATCGACAAATTTCTATTCTACTGCCAGTCGACACTCGCAATAGGGGTGTATGATTACGACACATTCACATCTGTTTGAGGAGGTACTTCGTAAGATTGCGAAATCACAGATACCATCAACTGGACTAGCAAGCAAGCGTGAAATTAACTGAAAACACGTCACGACAAATCGATACACATCTGAACATGTATGCATAATATTGGCTTTATCTATTAATCGAATATCAAGAGCTCTATTAAATATCACAGCGCACGGCAGTGCGCGCGAGTGACGAAAGCAGCAACAGTAGCATGCTGAAATGACTCGCTTATATATACACGAGATTTGGAAGTTTTTATCCAGACGTCCAATCGACTTGTTGGAAAGGTGTTGCAGAGTGTGTCCAGAAAATATATTCAAGCTTCGTAAACGATTAACCGGATTCTTAAAAATTAGGCTAAAGCGTTGCGAAACAAAAAACGTTTGTTTGCTTTTGCCGGTTTAAGGGGGCATGTGGGCACACCCAACATATTTACTGTTATTCTATAGGCCAATACCTTTCAAACGATACCTTATTTATTAAGTTTCGGCTACAAGTTGGAAAGATATAGAGGTAAATGTGTTTTGGTTCGTGTCTCCACTACGAGATGCTTTGGTATGTATGTGGCGTCTGTACGTACCATCATTTAATTTTTTTCCAACTTTCAGGAATTAAAGTACACAAAAAACTAAGAAGGCTTTGTTCCAGGATGTTTTGATTCGTATGCCTGTGTGGGCGTGGCTGCTGCCTGAAATTCGAAAAAAGGCAATTTTTTAAACTACCACTGAGGCCGCACTACTCAGTCCATGTCATTGATATGGATATCAGTAGAAGGGTCTTCAAACAAGCTATCTAACGCTATCTTTTGTGTTTATAAAATGTAAATACGCCATAACGTTATCGCCTAAAAACTAAAAATCGGGCTGCTGAAAATAGAGATTTCGGGCATTTTCTCAAAAACTGGTCAGTCGATTTTATTATAAGTTTCCACAAGTCTAGCCCACAACCTTAGCTTTCATCTGGTATATAGCTTATATCTGGGAAAACTCTTGTTGTGGAGATATTTCGATTCAAATTGAAAAAATGTCGCTCCAAAAAGGGTCAAATGGTTAAAAATTAACATATCCGTCTAATTTGGTTACTTTAAGATATAAAAATAACATACCCAATTCCCGAAAAAAATTGCCCATTCCCCGGTTGCCACTTAAACCGAAATTCCCTGCAAAACGGGGAATTTCCCGTGAGTTGACAAGTTGAAGGATGTAGCTGTGCTAATCACTTCGTACATGTCTTGGAAGCCACAATTTATGTGTATTTTAGAGTTTTTTTCGGTCACATGCCGAAATTGTAACATTCTTCCCCATTTTAATTGCAGGTATGTACACAGTATATAACTATGCTACATGGGTTTATCACCCGCACTTAACCTGCCTGGTATTTACCTATACACTGAGGGAAATAATGCATAATAAAAATGAATACTTTATATTTGATTATCGTTTAAAAATGTTCGTATTTAAAAATAATATTTTCATACAAAATTTATTACGCACGTATTTGACTGTTCACATCTGAGTATATATATGAGTGTTCATACGCACCCCAAGCATGCAAGGCGCCGCTCTGAGAGCGGTGGCAACACACACATACATAGTACAAATCGCGTGCTGTGGTGTTGATGGATATTCAGCATTTGAAAGCAAATTTATATGTCTGGGTGTAGCTGAGTGCACAAAGATGCTTGCCACAAGTTGTTTATATCCGGAGATGGTCAGGGTTCGAATACCACTGCAGGCAACATGCAAATTAAATTTTTTTTTTTTAGTTTTTGTCTTGATTATTCACTTCGCGGATGCTTTTTCAGTATGAACGCGGTCATTTTAATATGCGCGTAATTGAATTGAATATTTACCAATATACAGTACTTTCGTTGACGTTTATAGTAAGATCAATTACGTTTCTATTTGATTTTAATATTTTTTTCCCTCAGTGTAGTTGTACCTTAATATGTATGTATGAATGCATTTAGTTCACCCAATGTGCCGCTACTACTTACATACATATGTATAAATTGCCACTGAGCGAAACTACTTGAGAAAAAATCAAAAAATTCGTATAATTTTCGTCACGAAATTGATATCATAAATTTTGTGTTTCTAGTTCAGCTTTCGTCACTCGAAAATTTTAACTCAAAGAGGTGTTTTATTTGATTATAAAAATACACCCACCTACCAAATTTCATCCGGATATCACGAAAACTGAGAGACTAGATTGCATACAAACAGACGGACAGACAGACAGACGGACAGACGGGCATGGCTAAATCGACTCAGCTCGACGTGCTGATCATTTTAGTATACATTTTAATGGGTCTATCTCTTCTTATTCTGGTACTTACAAACATCGGACCAAAGTTATAATACCATTTCATGCTCATGAAAGGTATAAAAATACAAGCAAAACAGGAGTTTTATGCGAAGGCTGGCTTCCCAGGGGTCATCATGTGCGTTGATGGCACGCATATAAGGGGGCGTTCAGAAATCACGTGATCATTTTTTTTACATTTTGGGACCCTCCCCCCCCCCATAGTGATCTATGGTGATGTTATGCGAATCCCCCCCCCCGCGAAAATCACGTGATTATTTACTGAGAAATTAAAAGGTTTTTTTGCTCTAAGCAGAAAAATTAAAATTTTCATTTAACACTTCATTTAAATAAATACAATAAATACGTAACATAAAAAGTACAAAAATTCATTTGAGTTAAGGTAGTGCGTCTTAGCCAGGGAAACATTTTTTAAATAACCTGATTATGCATCAAGCCATGGGTTTGCACATACGTCAGTTACACTAACGATAGAAAGCTTCTCATCTATAGGCGCTGGCTCTACGTCATCATCAACAATATCGTTTTCATCGTGCCACTCTACCACATTTGTTCCGTCACTTCCATTTAAAATACACAGAACTTCAGCTGGACGACGATTAAGGATCCTTAACGAACGTATTGGTTCAAAATTTCTTTTCTTTTTATGCAAAGACTGAAGATGATTATGCAGACCTTTTTTTGAGCTGAAGTATAGCTGACAGTTAATGCACATGCGTTCGGTGATCAACCCTTTTATGGTTGGACAAAAGAAGTCGTAGGCCATTTTATTTATATCAAAATTTAAATGTTTCGATCCCAACGATAGTCTTAAAAGTAAAGGCGCGAAATGTTTTCCATCATGCGCGTCAGGTTTTGGGACAATTAGACCACTAGGTGTTTGCAGAAGAGGGTATGGAGGAGGTAAAAAGCGGTGATGTAAAATTTGAAGTAGGGAGCTCCGCATTTGTCCACAGCAATCGATATTAGTGCATTTAACTATTTGAAGCATATACTGACTTTCTCGAACGTGTGTGCTGTACCACTTAGTACATGGTAATACCGGAACAAAATTTTCAGCTCTAGCATCTGCTTCAATGTACTCTGCAAATACTTCGTAGCTGTCGATGACCATACCACTCCATATTTCAGCTAACACCTCACCAGCTTTACGAAAATTTATCTTCTCTAATGTTGGATCAACAGTTTTCCCATTTCCATCTAGATGGTTGCCGAAAGAATCGTGAGGTAGTATTACCCCCGCCAATTCCCGACTTAATGGAGCCATTCTGCGTTCAACCCTATTAAAGGCGCTTCTACCAGGTGCGTTTGTGAATATAAAAATAGCGTCGAGGTCATGTTTTTGAAAGTGATGAATTGCATGTGCAACCACCTTGGGGTATCTAGGATTTTCATCCGGGCCTCCGTCAGAAGACACAAAAATAACCGGCTTAACACGTCCACAATTATCTTTTATGACATTTCGGAATTGAGTTAATGTGATAAGTTTTTCAAAATCAAATGCATGTGTGGATGCGGTCGATGACGAGTGCTTTCCACTTCTGATGGCAATATAAGATGGTCCAGAGTAGGTTACTGCTTCCGGACGTCCTATTTCACCATTTTGTATTACACATGCAGCATAAACGCTAGGTATCAACTTGTGTCTGGCGGCTATCATCCAATCGTGATCAGGAAGCGAAACGCGGTACTCCATATGCATTAAGACAGGTGCCTGCTTGTTAGCAGCTGCTAAACCTATTGGTACACGAGCTTTATCATCTTGCGATAGAAAGCATGCTTGCAGCGGGCCTAGAATACTTGCCAGCATTTCCAACGATCTAATGGTAGCGACACAGAAGTGCTGGTCCAAATGGCTTTTGTGATGATCAGCCTCTGGCCGACTCAATTAAAAGGTAGGGTAACAACGTGCTTTTTTCCTTCCGACGTTTTACAATTTTTTGGCATTAATCGCAAATATGTCGCGCTTCTAGATATTTGGTAACCGAGATGTAACAATTTTTCATGAAGGTCGCTTAAGGTTTGACAACTCCGTACAATTTCACTTCGCCGACGTTCGTTGGCAGAAGCACCAAACATGGCTATGTCGACAATTGTTTTGAGTAACTCAGGCTGCTTACATTCAATACGAGGACGGCCTGGAGTACTATGTGTTACATTGGCTGCGTCGACATTATTTGCACTTATTTCTGCTAGTTTCGATTTAAGAGTTAACCTATGCTTTTTGGAGTGAATAGCGTGAAGCTTTTTTCTTCGGAGATGTTTTTTACAAGACTCAATACGTTTTTTGATTTTAGAAATTTCGTTTGATTTTCCACGGAGCAATGCCACATTGTATTCAGCTTTCAGTAAAGAAATTTGATTCCGCAGAACGTCCTGCGCTGGGGTATTACGACAAATTGGCGTAGTAAACTCTTCAGAGTCCTTGCTATTTTGAACTACGTCTGCGGTTTCACTCTGGCTGCAGTCGGGTTCAATTGCGGGGGTAGAACTATCGTTCAGTTGAGGCGTTTCTTTATCATTGTTCTGAAATGCATAATACAATAATGCATTACTATTACAAACTTTTAATAAACTAAAATCTGTCATCACCTTTTCATTGGGGTGTTGGAAGTACTGGGCAATATTGGTGATCTTAACTTTTGTCGTTGACTGCTTTAGCTCTTTAATTTTATTTAAAATAATGCTTTCGAAATCAGTTTTGTCTGTACAAGTTTTTTTAGCATCTCTCCAGAAGATGTTTGTACTTTCCTGGCACGCTGCTTTTGTTTTATTTGTATGTCGTGCAACATATGCACGAAATAGCTGCAAGTGAAGATTGGAATTCATTTCACCATAACTTTTTGAACTTAAATCATAGGAAGAGTTTGAATAAAAATTGGAATGGGTTCTACGCGACACGACTTGCAAGTTTTCGGTTATATTTTGAAACTTTTTACATAAATACATATATACATATTTATCGACTACGCTCTCAGTCAGCTGATATGATTGCCATATGCAAAATATTTAATAGAAAGGGAAATGTGGTTATTATTGAGATTAAAGCAAATCACGTGATAATACGAAACACCCCCCCCCCCCTACGTGATCGATAGTGATCATTTACCTAACCCCCCCCTCCCCCTAAAGTGGTCACATGATTTATGGACGCCCCCTAAGAATAATCAAGCCACATGAAGAAGATTTTCTGTATTACAACAGAAAAGGATTTTATGGTGGTGAGCTTTATTTCAATTACATCAGTGCCGTAATTTGATTTAATTGTTTTCGTAAATTTAATTTCTATTTTCAGGTGTGCGATAACAAAATGCGTATAAGAAGTATTGATGCGAGATATTCCGGATCCAATCACGACTCGCATATATGGGGTTTGAGTAAACTGCGATTTTATATGGAACGGCGATATCGGGAAGGTGAAAGAAACACCTGGTTGTTAGGTATTTATTTACTTGTGAAAGTCGTGTGTATAACTCAGTTGTGAACAATGATCCCTTTTATTAACAGGCGATGCGGGGTACCCTTTGGAGCCCTGGCTAATGACTCCATATCGGTCTGTAAGTGAAGGCACCCAACACAGCAATTACAACATGCGCCACTCCAGAACTAGAAATATAGTGGAGCGCACTATCGGAGTCTTGAAAAACCGTTTCCGATGCTTGTTGGGTGCACGGAAACTGCATTACTTACCGAAAAAAGTCAGTTAAATTATAAACGTTGCTTGCGCACTTCAACATTTGCATTCACTACAGAGTGGAAGATTTGAATGCAAACGAATTGAACTTTGAAATCCGCCAGGAGGCAGAAGAAGAACAAAGCGGTGATTCCAATTATGCTACCGTGGGTAATCGTATTAGAGACAACGTACTTTTCAAAAATTTATTAAATTTTTCTTTTTAAAAATTTACTAAAAACGGGTATAATAAAAAAGTAAAAAAAATATGTTTTTTATGTAAATAAATAAATATTAATACAGTGAAACCCGCTTAAGTACTCCCCCGCTGAAGTACCTAACCCGCTTAAGTTCCCCACATTTTTGGGCACCATGAATTTTTTAATGTAATCTGAACAAAATCCCTCTTTTAAGTCCCTCCCCGCTTATGTACCCAACCCGCCAAAGTACCCCATTTACAAATATACATATAATTTTCCCCTTTTAAGTGCTTTTTTTAATTTCTTCAAACATTTACATATTTTGAAATTCAGTGACAGCGCTACACACCTGCAAAAAGATTCTAAAAAATCAACGGAAATTTTTATCCACTTGAAACTTGTGCATTATTACACTAAAACTGAATTGGCTATAAAACTGTATATTCATACAAAAAAAAAATTCAAAACCAATAACTTACTAAAAAATTGTTTATTTTAGCTTAAAATTATTGTAACCAATAGAGGTAAATATGTTGTACAAAAAAACAAATAAACAGAAGTTCACAAAAGTTGATATAAAANGGCGAACGGCAACAGAGCAGAGCTGGTGGTATTGCTCAACGTAATTTTTCACAGCCGTATGAGTTTTGAGAGGATGCCAAATTCAGACATAGCGGCATATAGGCTTTAAAGTCGACAAATGGGTGGTGAGTGCCGATTCTTTTCTCGCGGGTATTTTCCAAAATTTGGCGTATTGTGAATACCTGGTCTATGGTAGACAATACATTCGATAAGACCTTGCAACCTATGCTTAAAAGGCTGATCCCGCGGTAGTTGGCACGCATGGCGGGGTCGCCTTTCTTGTGGATTGGGCAGAACGCACCTGAATTCCAGTCGTCGGGCATGCACTTTATTACCTCCTTGCCATCGTAATTAAAAAGCTCAGCTGACAGGCCGTCAGCTCAAGCAGCTTAGGCACTTTTCGTCATAGTCAGGCGCTGGGATATCGACTCCATCGTCATCGACTGGGACCTCGGGTTCATCTTCTCCACTTCTTTCAGTGCTTCTGCCATTCAAAAGGGTCGAAAAGTGTTCCCTCCTCACTAATCTGAGTACACTCTGGACATCGGTCACTAGGTCGCCATGGTTGTTCCTACAAGAGTCTTGAAACCTTCCGTAAGTCGCTCAACTCTCTGCTAAAAATTTCGGGTGTTTTTTCTGTCGGACAGCATTTCAAGCATTTTCTCACACTCGTCATCGTACCAGTAATGAGCGGGAAATGTGGTTCCACTGATCGCGCAAGTCGGTTTGTTGAAGAGTGCTCTCTCACAGCAGGTGTGAGTGTCGAGCGCCGAATCCATTGGCCGTCTGTTTTGATTGCAGCTTTTCTACGTTGAACTTTCCTTGCATTGTTTGGGGGCCCTTTTTTTTGCTGCTCCGAGGTTGGGTCGCGATGCTGGTAACAGAGGAAGAGGAAGGCCTCCTCTGCGTTGGAAAGACCAGGTGGAGAAGGACTTGGCTTCACTTGGCATTTTCAATTGGCGTCAGTTAGCACAGAAGAGAAATGACTGGCGTGCTGTTTTGGACTCGGCCAAAATCGCTTAGGCGGTTACAGCGCCAATCAAGAAGAAGAAGAAGAGTCGATGTTTGCCCCTCGGAGTGTACGTATGTACATCTAAAACATGGAAGCATGCCTTCCATCTATCACAACATGCTCGATTTGGTTTCCCGTTTTTCGATGTGGAGACATCCATGTAGCTTGATGGATCTTTTTATGCTAGAACCCAGTAATACATACTGTCAACTTTCGGGCCCGGCGAAATCGATCACCCTCAACTAATATGTACGATCTAAGCTAAGAGCGCCTTGGATGCCTCTTCCCTCTCTTCCATCGGGGCATTGGGACATATGAATGAGATGTTGAAGAATCTCGCTTTGATGCGGATTGTGGCTAGACTTTCGTCCACTCCGGCGTTCACTCTCCCACCACAAATCCAACACCGAATTGCACTCCTTTACGTGGCAACTGTAGTAGACGTCGCAAGGATCCACGCATACCTTCCTCGCCCCGTCCATCGCATTTCGTAGGTGGCGGTGATGCCAGCCTTTATTTTCCCTAGGACATCAACCAGCCGGGCAGAGGCACCATCCCGATTAAGTGTTCGGATATTCCAAGTGCATACCCTAAAATCATAGTCCCTCCTATGTTTGCCGTGATCGTCATCAAAAGAAGGGGGTATCATCTGAGGCATGTGTTTTTTTCATTGGGCATGGTTTTAACGTGGCGGGACCCAAGCCCAGTTGAATGGCAGTCAAAAGCTTTGCAGCACTGGCAAATGTACAAAACATAGTGGTCAAAAGCGAATATCTCTACTAAACCCTGATGTATTTTTTAAATTCATAGCTCTACATACCTGTACAGTAAACCAAATAGCCGGACCAGACGCTATTCAAAATAAAAAATAAAAAAAAAAATAAACTATTTTCCGTATACTCTGTAATATTCCTCCGCAATTTTGTAAGGTAAACTAACAATTATAACCATTGCTTTGCAGCGAAATATCTTCTCTTAAATTATATACATAGGTATGTGTAAATATGAGGACATATTGAACATTTTGAGTATGCAGATTTTTTATGCTGGTGTATTCATTTATGCTAAATATATTACTTGATTTTGTTTTGTCACACTTAAGAAGTAAACGTCTTGGCTGTTCACCCAACCGGTCTATAGTTTTAACAATAATCTCAGATTGGTTATGTGATACAAAACTTTCATTTATATTATATAATATTTCAAAATAAATGGTATTCAGTGCATTTCACAATTTATGATTTATACTTATATATCACGGTGGTTAATATGTATTTAATAAAAACAAAAAAAGAAAATACAAATTAAAAATTTTAGGTACAAGTTTAACAATCAAGTTCTTCAACGTGTTTGAAGTTGCTAATCAAGATTAGGGTCTGAATGCTCCAGCCTTAACATCTCCATCTTAATCTCAATTTTCCGCTTTAAAAGTTCCTCTTTAATTTTGTTGTGCCGTTGCTCTTCCTGCAGTTGCCTTGCTGCAGGGTCCGCCACCTTTTCAAGGGAACGGTTCATGCGCCGCAAATGTGTCGCCATTTCCTCCATTCTATTCATGGCAGCTTCATTGAATTTTTTTGTCTCGGCATGGAATTCCTTTTGAAGTTCAATTTGTTCTTTCAGTAAAGAAGAATTGTCCTCCCTTTATCTCCTTCTTTTTCGGTGTTGGCTGCTTGCTCTACTGGTTGAAGGTAAACTATCGATCCACAGAATAAGCAGAAATGTCCATTTCAGTTTGGGTATCGTGTTGGACCTGAGGACTATCTCCAAAATCCAGCGCACCTCTAATTCCACTTGTGCACGTTATTAAGCCCGTCAATTCTATGACTTGCTCTTCAAGTGGGGTTGTGCGCTGCAAACGGCTTTGCCTTGAACCGGTGCTCATCATTTCTTTTTTGTTATTTGATAGCTTGCGATTTATGTAGCATTTCCAGTCAATCCACAGCTGTAAGAAACCGTTCAATCTATTTTACAAATTCCTGTTATTTTCAGTAATACCTAACCTTTCTCCATGCATTGGAGTCCTTAGATGGGGGACCTAATGCATTTAGGGAAGTTGCTACCTCGTTCCAAAACTCCTGCACTTCTTCTTTGGGTCGCTATTGAAAACCCTGCGCTATATCTCTTTTGGCTGCCATCATTTCAGCCAATTTCTCATATTGCCCTGGTGTTGTTGTTTTAGACCTATAAACATGATAAAAAAATTGCGAAAACACAAAAATTAAGAAAATTCACTTATAATGATTTTTACAATCATCCACAGTAATTTTCACTTACATTTTTTGTAAAATTTTATTATTCAAACCCACGAAAAAAACAATTGAATGGTTCCCGCCAACAAATTTGCAACTTACAAAAACGTAACTGCGATAAAAATATAGAATAGCTAGAATCGAAAATTTCGAACATTGATCGAAACGAAACGAAACGCAGAATACCAAAGTTGCCAAATGGAGAAAATTTCGATTCGAGTCGAAATGCAGAATAGGGCCGAAGATTTCATATTTTCTTCTAAACAAAATTAGCTTTTTTATAGCATATTCGCAATGAAATGAAAAAAAAAATTAGATATAATACCTTTTTGAGGAAACAAAATGTATATACAGAGAAAAAATAAAAGAAATTCAACTATATTATTAGGCAAAGAATTGTTAAAGGAGTAACACTGTTTCAGCTAAGGCAGTCAATATGGCGGAATTAGAGCGAGAAGTTGCCAATCGGTAACACCTTGTATTATTGCATCGTGATGCGGTGGTGAGTTTTCGTTAACACGCGAATCCCATAAAGCCCGTTTACATACAACTTTGGCGTATGGCGTTGGCTCGCTTCGACAGCTGACTATGAATTACAGTTAGGGGATTCCCTTAAACGCGAAGAGCAGAAAACTCGAAAACCTCGAAAGTTTTCGAGGCTGTTTTTGGGAATGCACCTTTTTTCAGCCTCGTAAACAATGGAGAAATTCCGAAGTTTGACAGCTCATTCAGAGTTTTTTGTATAATACATCGCATCAGCTGAAATAAATACATATAAAATCAGCATTGAAAATGCCACGAAAAAGTGAAAAATGTAAATTGTATGAAGTTCGTAGAATATTCGGATATAAAGGCAACACTGAAACTTACGAACGACTTTTCGAGGCTTTTTTCGCGACTAATTTGCCTCGAAAGTTTTCGAGGCACGCGAAAATCGCCACTCATACAGTTTTTGACAGTTGTTTTTCGAGGCTGGAAAAGTTTCGAGGTT